TCCACCGAGGAGGAGCGCGGTGGTACCGGGGCGACCCGCGGGGCTGCGTGGACTTTGCGCCCGCTGGGGCGTCCGCTGCGTTCCGGCGCAGGAGGCTCCGTACGGGGAACGCGCCCGCGGGGGAATGGAGTACCCACCCACCGGAGTGCGGCTGCGGGGCCGCGGAGAAAGGGACGGGGCCGCGAAGCGCTCCGTCGGCCACGACTGCTACCAATAAACTATCGTCCTCGCTTTTTCTTTCCTTTTCTTCCCCTTCCCTCCCTGTTACTTTTGCTTTCGTGCTCTCAGACAAGCTCAATAAACGCTGGAAGTTGTGTGTGTGTTTGTGTAGAGGGGAGATGTCACTTTTAATTACTATTTTTCTGGCAATCAACGCCTTCGCTTTTTCTTTCCTTTTCTTCCCCTTCCCTCCCTGTTACTTTTGCTTTCGTGCTCTCAGACAAGCTCAATAAACTCTGGAAGTTGTGTGTGTGTTTGTGTAGAGGGGAGATGTCACTTTTAATTATTATTTTTCTGGCAATCAACGCCTCACACGAGACCCTCCGTCCTCTTGCGATGCCTTGCCGGAGCAGGACTGCCCGCCTCGGCGGTACTTCCTCGCCCCAGGGAGCGCGCAGCCCTCGGGGTACGGCGAGGCTCCCAGCGCGTCTCCGCAGGGGCCGATCGGCGCTGGCCGGGGGGCGCGGGGCATCTGCGTGAACCCGGCCGGCAACCGCGCCAAGTTCACTGTCTATCAAAATAACGAGATACGGTGGCCTGAGCACCGATAATTGCCACAGGAAAGCTTTATTATCTCCCCAGCTGTCTATTCTGCAGCCATCGGCTCGAAAGAATCAAATGGAAAAGAGTGAAAGGGATAATTAAAAACATCTTGGAAGGGGGTCAAGAAATTAACAGCCTAATACGAACAAACTTTGATTACAAGTAACAATTATTACACTTCATTTGGAAATGCTCGTGTTTATCTGCAAACATAATCAGTTTCAAGAATTTTTTTATTTTTTTTTTTTAGTAGATCCACGTTACGTTTCCAGCGGGTGGCTATGGGGCTCATTAGCGCCCAGGGTAATTTTTAAGTGCGCTGTTGGAGGAGCCCTGGCCCTCCCACACCCTGTGCTGGGCTCTGCAGGCCCAGCCCTGCCCGCAGCGGGAGCCTGCATCCCCCGCGGGTCTCAGCCATGCCAGCAGCTCCTGCTAATTAGTCATTGCCACTTGTAGCCACCACCCACTGATTTCACCTCTGATAGCCAAAAAGATTCACCTTTCAGGACAAGGTCAGGAGGGACAGGGGCTCTGGTTGACTACGGGGTCGACCTGCCAACAGCACTTAACTCAGTCCGGCAGCTCAGCCTCTTCCAGACTTAACCTGTTGCATTTGGGAGCCGCATTTCTGCCCCTGGCAGCGTTTGTGCTCCCTGCCCAGCCCTCTGTGCCCCAGAACCGACCTACACAGGGGGACTGGCCAGGGTAAGCTCATTGCCCTGTAGGAACAATTGCCTGTAGGGGCAATGCCAAGTAGCCTGGCATTGAAGCAGGATGATGACAGAGATTCAGAGGACAAGGGAGCTCCCCAGAGCCTTTCCAAAGGGACCCTGTTGTCATGCCACATTTCTGACCTTGCAGGTCAAGCTGCTTCTGGTTCTTCAAAGCACACCACAATGCACAGGAGGGAGAAAGCAGATGGTTTCCCCCACTGCTTCCACACAGGATGCATGCCAGTGGAGAAGAGAGGTAAAGCTAAAAGGAGCTTATAAACACATTGCAGTGGAGCAAGGACCTGGGCCCAGCTCTGTTCGCAAGGCACAAGCAACGGGGCCCACTTCATTTTACATGGGAGAGAAATACCTCATGTCTCAATGAGGCAGGTGATACTGAAAATCCCCCTGAAAAGGTGCCCTCAGCACCCACGTGTAGCCCTGGCACCACCCCCTGCATGGCCCCACAGAGCTGCTGTCCTGGCACTGTCCTGTCCCTGGCAGAGCTAGACTGTGGGAGGTGACAAGGTCAGTCTGGCCAGCCAGCACCCATGGGGCTTGTGTCACCTTGCAAATTCCCCCCCGTAATGTAAACAGCATCATCAGGAACAGAGGACTTTCTACCACAAATCAGACACATTCAGAAATGTCAGTTTTCCAAATGTTTATTCCCCAAAGTTACCTCCCCTGCTTCAGTCCAATCCCTCCCTCAGGCTGCAGCTGGAGAGTGCATCTCCAGAGGAGGGCTCCATGGCAGACCCCAAGCAGCAGCACAGTGCTCAGGCACAGCATACACAGCTACTACTACTAAATGAGTCATGTCCTATTTGTGCCAGCTCTAATGGAAGTGCAGGAATTAGATTAAATATTTACAATAAAAACCACTTTACACTCTATTATTCTAGCTACCGCTGATGCAGTGGATTGGGTGGCCCTGGCTTGTGTTTTCCTGCAAAGTCCTCTATCTTTCCTCTTTTTACATCTAAAAAACTGCAGTGTGCAGGATGTTTCTCCTGCTCTCCTGTAACACACCCACGGGACGTAAAAGCTCTAGGAGCTGGGAGTTTAGCTCCCCATTGCTGGTGGCTGGAAATGTGGGTGGAGCAGGGGCTGTTTGAGCCCCCATGAAAGGTGCTCTTTGCCAGCAGCTTCAGTGGTTTTTGCCCCAGGCTTGGGCTGAGGCTTACTCCAGTGCTCAAGGGCAGGACTCTGCAGGACTCTCCCTACGAGCTTGCACACCAAGAGGGGAAAAATAAAAAGACCTTTGGGGTTTTGCTCTGCTGTGACCCAGTGAGGCAGAGACCTACGCCTGGCAGTCGTGGAGGGGCACTGACACCAGGGCTGTAGGGGACAGCATACCCCTGGCTCAGGCCTTGCTGCTGCAGCTGGGCTGCAAGGAGTGGAAGTAGAGCTGCAGCCCATCATTGATGGGGTGCACGATGGGCACGGTCTGCATGGCGGGGTAGCCAGGGGGGGCCAGCTCCCAGCGGGCTGTGCTGACCAGCTCGATGGCCAGCAGCTTGAGGATGGCCTGTGCCAGCTCCTTGCCGATGCAGCTCCGTGCCCCACCACCAAAGGGGATGTAGTGGAAGCGTCCCACAGCCTCCGTCCGCGCGGCACTGAAGCGGTCTGGGTCGAAGTTGTCAGGGGGACTCTGGTAGATAGCGGCTGTCTCATGTGTGTCACGGATGCTGTACATGACGCTCCAGCCCTTGGGGATCTGGTAGCCCTGAGGGGGAAGAGAGAAGAGGGGAGAAGAGGAGAATTACATACCTGTGCAGCCAGCTGCGCTAGTGGAGGGTGAGCAGAGGATGCCTGGGGACAGCCCTGCCACGTTGCCCATCTGCTCTGCAGCTCCTTTTCTCCCACAACCAGCTGGGACCCATGGAAACTGCTGGATGCCACCTTCCCCTGGACTACACCGCTGTACAGCACTGCTGTGCTGGACACATGGTCTTTATAGGCAGTGGCAGGCAGCAGCTCCCGAGCAGTCCGCTGGCATTCAAGGCACTTACATCCAACTCAAAAGTCTGCAGCGCTGTCCTGTAGCCTCCGGAGACAGGGGGCAGCACCCGCAGCACCTCCTTAATCACACAGTCCAGGTAGCGCAGGCGGCTTAGCTTCTCCAGGCTGATGTCTGAGGGGCAGCGACAGCTCTGCCCTGACGGTACCTGGAGCTGGGGACCAGGGCAGTGACTGCTTTGGAGCAGGGTGGGCTCCAGCGGGGCACAGGACTCAGGGAAGCCTTCCTTCATTGGGTGCAAGGGCTGGCTCTGGTCCTTGCAAGCATCTTCGGCCATGGGGTTAAGTGGCTTTTCGCTGTCCTTGCTCTGCGAGGTCAGGGTGTCTGGGCAGGGTCCTGCAGCACAGCACTCACACTGCTGGTACAACTCGTGGGCCATCAGCTCCTGCCTTATTTTTTCAATCACTGAGGGATGCTTCAGTAGCAGGAGGATCAGAGACGTGCTAGCACTAGCCGTGGTGAAAAAAGCAGCAAATATGAGCTCAATCGCTGACTCCTGGGAGAGGAAGGAAGGTGACAAGTTTTAACACCATTTTAAACTGGTTGTGATGCAGATGATTTTTACCTTTTGCAGGTTTTTCCCCTGTGCAGAGGGCCCTCGCATCCCTGCCCCCCCTGCTCTCCACAGACCTGAACCCACTCTAGGTTGGCAGAGACCAAAACAAGACACCCTCATTCTTCCATTTCTGTACAGACTGGACATCCACTTGCCAAGTGACTGACACAGAAACACAAATGAGATTACCTCCAATCTAATTACCTCTTTGTTCTGGTTTGGTGGGTTTTTCAGTAGCAGGGGAAGGGCCACAGGAGTGGCACCAATAAGAAGCTGAGAAGCTCCCCTGCCCCAAAACCCAGCCAAAGAGCCATCAGAGACACAACAGATGCACCTCAGCAATTAACATGAAAGAATCAACATAACACCTGAGCAGAGAAGCACTTGGAGGAGACCTGTAGTGGAGGAGAGCAGTGCTGGTGGCTGGTCAGGAAAAAGGGGAAGAAGGTGCCCAAGCAAAAGTTTCCCTGCAACCCATGGCAAGATGGCAGCTGTGCCCCTGCACTCATAGAGGAACGTGGTGGAACATTCCCTGAAGGTGCCAGGAGGGGTGAACTTGGCCACTGGACTTGGATTTTGTGGCCAGAGGATTTGCTGCCAGTGGACTCTGATTGTGCAGCTCTGGAAGACCCCGGCGCCAGGAGGGTTTGTTCCTGAAGCAGCTCATGATTCTGTGGGAAGCCCAGGCTGGAGCAGCTCCAGACCTTGTGGGAAGGACTCATGAAGGAGAGGTTCGTGGAGGACTCTATCCCATGGGAGGGACCCCATGGGAAGCAGGGAAGGACTGTAAGGAGTCATTCCTGAGGAGGAAGGAGCGGCAAGAACCACCAGGCTGTGAACTGACTCTAAACCCCATCCCCTGTTCCCCTGTGCTGCTGGGAGGAAGGAGGGAGAGAAACCGGGAACAAAGTGATTTGGGCCTGGGAAGAAGGGAGGGGTGCGAGCCCTGTTCTTTGTGTTGCTTGTGTCCCGTGTGTATTTGATTAGTGTGAAATTAAATTATTATTTTTTCCCCAAGTTGAATCTGTTTTGCCTGGAACCTTAATTGGTGAAGAACCCTCCTTGTCCTTTGTCTCAGCCTATGAGCTTTGTCCTCCTCATCCCAGAGCATGTGTATGCGGGGGTGGAGGGAGCTGAGGGAGCAGCCATGGAGCAGGTTCTTTGTTGTTGTGTTGGGCCCAAACCACGACACTCTTCTAAGCTTTCCTCCCAAGATTTACGAATTTTTAAAAAGTATTTTAACATGCCTTTTAGTATACTGCGTGAAGTTAATTTCAAGCATTATGCTTCTTACCTTCATCTGCCAATTCCCGTTTGTGCACAGCATTTACCTTTCTGCCCAGCCAGGGCTTATGAGGCTGTGTGTTTTTGCATATATCCCAGATGCACTGGCAGATAAAATAGGTTGCATGTGATCCACCTCCAGTTATAATCGACCATTTGTTTGGGAGAGGACTCAAACCAACAGAGTCAAAAGCAGTAACACCTCTCTGCTATATAGCAAGTCAGCCAGGGAGCTGCTGTAGCCAGCAGGGAGCTCTCTCACAGGAATGTACACACTAAGCAAAGGAATTGCTTGCTTTTCAAGCTTTACAGCCTGAAGCACAGCAGTGGTCCTTATAGCTTCGTAGCAGATGTGTCCAGAACAAGCTGGGAGGTTAATCAGCTCAGATGGACCACAGCACAGTCAAATCCGTAACAGATGCCTTGTCCCAGCTCACAGATCCCCACGGAGCATCCAAGTCTTTCTAAGACTGTCTGCAAGGTCTATATGGCACAGCACATGCAGGGTTGTTACAGGTTGTTTGCAGTACCCTGTGATCAACTTTTGGAAATTGTTTTTCAAAAGTTACAGGTTGCCTGGGGCTGGGTCATGGCATGTCAGGGCTCTGACAGCAAACACAATGCTTAAACTTACAACACCATCTGAAGGTGCCGGTGGCTCCATAGCACTGGGTTAGGAGCACTGAGGCCAGAGGCCAGATCCAAAAGCCACAGGAGTAGCCCAAGAGAAGAGGAGCACAGGGAGCTGCCACCCTGGGAGGGGCTGGGATCTGGCTGGCAGTACTGAGCACTCATCACTCCAGCCCAGGGGCAAAGAAGAGCCCAGGGAAACAGAGCAGTTTCCTTTCACACAGCTTTGTGTCTGGATTTTAAATTGTTCTGAGACAACCAGTTGCTGGAATGGTGAAGCAAAAAATACCTGAAGCCTGAAGGTACCTGGAATCAAGTCTGGTAAGGTCAAGGGTAATGTAACTAGGGTTACTCTTTGCTACCATCCCCAGAGCCATATATTGGCTGGACTAGAGGCTTTTGTCAAAGTGCAGCTCTCAGGGGCATCTTTCATCTGAAATAAAACCTCTGAAATAACAGCTCCCTGTCGACCCCAATCACACCTCCTGCAGGCGTGTGCAGGAATTTTTACATTCACAAGGTAGCAGACCCAGATGAAAAGAAATCTCTCAGTTCCACCACTTGTAATTAAACATTTCAATAACATGCAAAGAATTTAGGGCAGGCTCTGCAATTTGAAATAACAGCCCTTATGACTCCCTGCATCAACCACTGACAGTGCTGCTACACAAGCTGTGACACCAAGCTGCTGACCTTCTCTCCCTGCATTTACAAAGCCAACATCACTGATGACTGGAAGGCAGCATCTTCCCACAGCTTCACCAGTATTATCCCTGTGCTACAGACCAACTCCCCATCCTGGGAGGCAGGACTGGCTATGTTGCAATTTCACCCATCCAGCCAATGACAGCACTATTACATTGGATGTTTTAATGTTTGGGTCTTTTTTTAATCCTTCCAATGTTTTAAATGTTTTTAAACACTTTTGGCAAAGCGATAGCTTTTTTTGTGACCTTACACTTCAAGGGTCCTGCTAAGTTCAAGCCAGCAGTGCAAATCATAGTGTATTTAGGAAGATTTCTGGGGAAAACAGTCCTTCAAAATAATTTGAACAAAAAGCAAATTAATAACTAATGCGTGCCAGTGTTTGGAGTGTCTCTCAAAACCAGATATATACACGACTCTGAAACAGGTTTGCACTTTTTATCCAATTACACCACTTTGTTGGATCAGAGCTGTACTACTGGTTTACTAAAGTGGAAAATATTCCTGTAATTGCAAGCATAGGCAGCTTGGTTTGCAAGTAATTTTGTTAAATCCAGACAAGATAGAAATTTTCTAACTGTAGAAGTACAGGACAGCATGTGAATATACTATAACTTAAATTAGCTGTCCAAGGCTACTGCCATGTTACTCCATGTTATGTTTAATATCCCCTTATTCCATTTGTGGTCAAAGCCAGGGACATGATGAGAGATCATGTAATTATTTGTGTGTAATATCCTCAGTTAATACTAACAAAGATTACTCAACCACATTTTCAATATGGCAATTATTTTTAGAAAATAATTATAGTATAAAAATTCCATTATATTACAACAAATAATATAAAAAATAACTAAAATAAAATTACTTTAAGAATATATGCTGGTTCTAATTGTATCAATTAGTCACAATAAATAATTTAATAAATAACTACAATAAAATTATTTTAAGAATATATGTTGGTTCTAATGATTCTATGATTCTAATTGCATCGAAGTCACTGTAAAGTCTTTCAAATATTTTAGATTTAGAGATTACACTTTTACAAAATATTTATAACCATTAGTCTTTACATGGTTTTCCTTAAATACCTAACTAAATGGAAAAATTATGTATGTTGAATGCTTTTAAACGATATTCAGTTGCTGTACCCATGCAAAAGTGCTTCAAAACTTGTTACATAAATGCAGTGTCATCTGTCATTCACTGACACCAAGTGACCTGGAGCTATGAATAATATTAATGTATTAATAGTATTAATGACAGGTTTTTTTCCCCAAGATCTTTGGCAAAATACTCTTCACATTCCGTTGGCAGTTTTGGCTCAGTAAGGACTGCTGTGTTCATCCCTAAGTCATAGTAATGCACAATAGCGATCCACGAGCTAGATGACAATTAATGATGAAGTGATAGGGATGACCCAGAATCCATTGCCCCATCCCTGGACCCATTTTGATTCATCATCTCTGAGATTTCTGGGTTCACAGCACTGAGGAATACAGGGACATGACCTACATACCACACTATGCCAGAAGCTGGGGGATGTTTGAGGAGCACACTCTAGCTCTAAATATTTCCAAGATAGTGTTTTGGAGGTTACCAAGTGCACACTGATGTACAGAGCCTTAGCACAGCCACATAACACTACCAGCACCCTAAGTCAGGCTAAAGCCTGGTGGCCATGAAAAGGAAAGGCAGAAGAGGCATTTATTCATTTTTTAAATACCAGCTCTCTTCTAATGCAGAGACACAATCCTACAAGAGCATAGGAGCATGCTGAGTCTAGGCTTTCTCATTTGTGCTGGAGATGGTGACCTCAGAGCTGGTAAGAGGAGGGCAGGATCTGGTGGTGGGACCCCACACAACTTCCTCCTGCCTCTCAGCCCAGGTCTCTCAAACAGCCACCAAGTCACAAGGGACACTGCAAAGTGGGTTGTCCTTACCTTTAATTCCTGCATGGTGAATTCTTTGCCATGCTCCTTGGCACTGTTAATTATGAAATCCAGAGCATCGCTGTGATCTTCTGGGTTGTTTCTCTGCAGTTTTTCCTGTATAGCCTTCTCCATAAACTCATGTAGCATGTTCCGTGCTTTGATTCCCTGCGGGAGGCAGACACAGTTCAGGAGAGCCTTAGGAAACCACCCCCATCTCCAGAGAGACCAGGGAATCCAAGTGTGGCAATCCTTAATCCCAGGATCTGTAACAGCAAGAACTGTTTAATTTGTTGCTCAGCCCCAAAGCCTTGCATGAGACAGCATTTTTGGGGTAACTACTGCAAATTCTGTTGCCTTGCTGTTGTGAATCAAATACAAGTTCTAAGCCCTCTGTGAGGAAAATACACCAGTAAACCCATGGTACCAAGTCCAGAGGCACCTGCACTGAACAAACCCACAGTTGTGTCAGGTCCAAAGGAAACTTGTCCAAAGGGACAGGAAGAAGTAATTTAATAAAACTGAGTCCAAGCAGGAACAGATGAGTGGCTTTACCAGGATATATAGTAAAGAACAACACATTTATCACACCCAGTGAATAATCTCCAGTTGTTAGACTCCTGTGCAGCAAAGCATTTAAGCAAGGTTTCAGCAAGTACAATTATCAGCAATCTCTTTGCAAACTGGGGTGGATGGAGTCACAGAGTATGTGTGGCTCTGTATCAAGATGCCTCCTGCAAAAGCCAGAAGGACCAGAAATTTTGTATGAAATATAGCCATGAGCAAATGTTGGAAAGAAGATACAAAGGCTGGGATTTGAGGTGGGGAAGAACTGGACAAAGAAAAACAGGGCAGGGAGGAAGAGCAAAGACAAGGGGACCTCAAATGCAAGTTGAAGATGTTGGTCTGGGGCCAGACAGGCCATGCCTGACCTGAGAGTGAGCAGGGAGGACAGGATGGGAACAAAAGCTCACAGTGGTGACAAGCTGTGAAGGGAAACTGGGCAGGGGAAGCAAGAGTTTGGAACTGATGGAGAAGAGCCAGCAACAAAGCTGGGGGAGAACTGGAACTGGCTGTATAAGGTGATGGGGTAGGGCAGAGCTCTCAGTGGAAATAAAAGATGTGGCAAGATCTGGCTAAAAGGGGCAGGAGACTTGAGCTGTGGTAAAGGCAGAGAATCCAAAGTCAGAAGAGGGAACACAGACTGAAATAGGAGTGGAGAGGTGGCACAGAAGGAGTGTGGGGAGACAGGCAAAGAGGGGCAAGGCAGCAGGGAAGAAACTGTGAGTTGAAAGAGGCAAAAGAGACTGTCCCTCTGCCATGTTCCTCTCCAGGACTCCTCGCTGTCTCTCTGCTGCTGGGGAACAAGGGACCAAAGACCATAAGAGGGTTTCAAGTCCTCAGCTTGCCCTGAGGTGCACAGGGAGTGCTAACCTGAGCTGCACTGTGCTCATTTGTCTTTGTGATCATGCTCACAAACACCTTCGCTGTGGGCTGACAGGAGCCCAGGAGGGATGAGATGGGTCAAGGACCAGACATGATGGACTAACCAGAGCCAATAATGGCAATGTATGGGGTGAGGGAGCAGAGAAGCCCTGCACTATACAATAAACTGGAGCCAGTACTCAGAGGTACTAGAAGCCAACAGGAGCAGGTGAGAAGTGCAGAGAGACAGAGACATGGCTGGGATGGGCAAGACCAAGCCCTCAGACCCAAAACAGGGTGTTGCAGATGTCATGGCCCATCAAAAGTGTCTCTGGGCCAGCCTGAGAACAAGGGCGCTGTGTTGCCGAGGCCTGGGCCTCCCCCAGGCAGAGGGATGGGGCAGGCGGCAGTACCTTGCGCAGCCCGCTGAAGGGTATGTTGAGGGGCAAGGAGAAGAGGTTCTCCACCAGCTGTTCAAAAGTTTTGGCCAGGTTCTTGAACTGCTTTTCCTCCAGGCGGAGTCCCAGCAGAATCCAAGCTGCAATGCGGAAAGTTAAGGTTTTAGCAGAGGAATAAACTGCGATGGAGCCCGGCTCCATGCACCAGCCCCGCAGCTCCCAGCTCACAACCTTCTGGATCCGCGGCAAATAGCTCTCCAGGGCAGCACGACTGAACACTCTGGCCAGGATCTAGGAGAAGAAGAAGGGGAATAGAGGCAGGTGGTTAAAGCGGTGGGTTCCATGTGTCACCGAAGCCCAAGCCTGGGCAGGAGGTGCCCTCCTGCTCTGCCAGGGCAGTTGTGCGGCTCACCTTGCGGCGCTGGCGGTGCAGGTCACCTACAGAGCTGAGCAAGGTGTGGGAGCCCAGGATGATCTGGGTGCTCTGTGGCCACTGCGTGCTGACCAGTGTGTGCTCGCCCAGCAGGATCTTGCGGATGTTCTCAGCACCTGTCACCCGCACCACCGGCCGGCCCAGTAGGTGGGTCTTGAAGACGTTGCCGAACTTCTCGCGCCGGGAGCTGTGAAAGTGGGAGCCCTGGGGACGAGATAGAGGTCAGCCCGGGGCTCCAGAAGGACCAGAAATTTTGTATGAAATATAGCCATGAGCAAATGTTGGAAAGAAGATACAAAGGCTGGGATTTGAGGTGGGGAAGAACTGGACAAAGAAAAACAGGGCAGGGAGGAAGAGCAAAGACAAGGGGACCTCAAATGCAAGTTGAAGATGTTGGTCTGGGGCCAGACAGGCCATGCCTGACCTGAGAGTGAGCAGGGAGGACAGGATGGGAACAAAAGCTCACAGTGGTGACAAGCTGTGAAGGGAAACTGGGCAGGGGAAGCAAGAGTTTGGAACTGATGGAGAAGAGCCAGCAACAAAGCTGGGGGAGAACTGGAACTGGCTGTATAAGGTGATGGGGTAGGGCAGAGCTCTCAGTGGAAATAAAAGATGTGGCAAGATCTGGCTAAAAGGGGCAGGAGACTTGAGCTGTGGTAAAGGCAGAGAATCCAAAGTCAGAAGAGGGAACACAGACTGAAATAGGAGTGGAGAGGTGGCACAGAAGGAGTGTGGGGAGACAGGCAAAGAGGGGCAAGGCAGCAGGGAAGAAACTGTGAGTTGAAAGAGGCAAAAGAGACTGTCCCTCTGCCATGTTCCTCTCCAGGACTCCTCGCTGTCTCTCTGCTGCTGGGGAACAAGGGACCAAAGACCATAAGAGGGTTTCAAGTCCTCAGCTTGCCCTGAGGTGCACAGGGAGTGCTAACCTGAGCTGCACTGTGCTCATCTGTCTTTGTGATCATGCTCACAAACACCTTCGCTGTGGGCTGACAGGAGCCCAGGAGGGATGAGATGGGTCAAGGACCAGACATGATGGACTAACCAGAGCCAATAATGGCAATGTATGGGGTGAGGGAGCAGAGAAGCCCTGCACTATACAATAAACTGGAGCCAGTACTCAGAGGTACTAGAAGCCAACAGGAGCAGGTGAGAAGTGCAGAGAGACAGAGACATGGCTGGGATGGGCAAGACCAAGCCCTCAGACCCAAAACAGGGTGTTGCAGATGTCATGGCCCATCAAAAGTGTCTCTGGGCCAGCCTGAGAACAAGGGCGCTGTGTTGCCGAGGCCTGGGCCTCCCCCAGGCAGAGGGATGGGGCAGGCGGCAGTACCTTGCGCAGCCCGCTGAAGGGTATGTTGAGGGGCAAGGAGAAGAGGTTCTCCACCAGCTGTTCAAAAGTTTTGGCCAGGTTCTTGAACTGCTTTTCCTCCAGGCGGAGTCCCAGCAGAATCCAAGCTGCAATGCGGAAAGTTAAGGTTTTAGCAGAGGAATAAACTGCGATGGAGCCCGGCTCCATGCACCAGCCCCGCAGCTCCCAGCTCACAACCTTCTGGATCCGCGGCAAATAGCTCTCCAGGGCAGCACGACTGAACACTCTGGCCAGGATCTAGGAGAAGAAGAAGGGGAATAGAGGCAGGTGGTTAAAGCGGTGGGTTCCATGTGTCACCGAAGCCCAAGCCTGGGCAGGAGGTGCCATCCGGCTCTGCCAGGGCAGTTGTGCGGCTCACCTTGCGGCGCTGGCGGTGCAGGTCACCTACAGAGCTGAGCAAGGTGTGGGAGCCCAGGATGATCTGGGTGCTCTGTGGCCACTGCGTGCTGACCAGTGTGTGCTCGCCCAGCAGGATCTTGCGGATGTTCTCAGCACCTGTCACCCGCACCACCGGCCGGCCCAGTAGGTGGGTCTTGAAGACGTTGCCGAACTTCTCGCGCCGGGAGCTGTGAAAGTGGGAGCCCTGGGGACGAGATAGAGGTCAGCCCGGGGCTGCTGCCAGCCTCTTCCCATCCAGTCCTCATCCC